TGAGCACAGCACCTGGCTCCTGGGCGGGCTCGTCCTCACTCGCCGTGATGGCTTCAGCAGCCACGCTGGGCTTTGAGGATCAGCCCTGGAGCCCGAGCCACACAGCTGTGGGGGCAGAGGCCCGGTCTGTCTCAGCCACTCTGGTGGGAGTGGAACCAGAGCAGCGGGAGTCCGGGCGCCATCTTGGCTCCCCTTTGGGCATCCCCAGCCTGGGAGGACCCCACCGGGGGGAAGCAGAGCCCACAGGGAGATTCCCGACTTCCGTTCTGTTCCTTCATTCCTTCAGGGTTCCTCCCGTCCCCCGATCCTGCCACCCGACCCAGACACACCCAGGACTTCTCAGGATCTGAGCCCGTGAATGTCCCTCTTCTTTGCTCCCGCCAGCCTGAGTGGAGTTTCTGCAACCCCAAAAGAAGTCGTGCCCTGTTCAGAGGATGCCACCCTCGGAACCCAACGGTGCTGGGAGCTCGAAGCCGGCCGAGTGGGAGTATTTACGCCAGGGAAAGGGGCAAACGCTTCCAAGGGTTTCCGGTTGCTCCCCCAAGTCCTGGAAGGCCAGTGGCCGAACATCGACCAGTGTGTGCAGAGCCAGTTTGAAGGGCCAGTCCCACGTGGGAGGACGGACCTGGAGTTTCCGAGCACCAGGCTCTGCCCCCTCTGGGCTCCGTCTACCTCGGGCCTCGCAGAGCTGCCACTGCCTCGCGCTGGGGCAGACGGCACAGGGCGAGGCTGCCGGTCCCCGACATGCGTATCCTTCCCATTTCCTCTCTCTCCACGCAGCCACTTTTTTTGGCCTTCTGGACCAGGGCTGCTAGAAACAAGGGCCAGAAGCATTCATCAAACTGACCTAAGCAAAAAGGAGAGATTTATTGGTGCGCGGGCTGGTCCGCCTGAGGCACAGCTGCCTTGAGAGGCTCCAACGGTGGTTTGGGCTTTTCTCCACCTCTTGGCTTTGCTCTCTCTGAAGACCAGGGGCCCCGGTGTGCAGCTGAGCGTGGCACAACCCCGGCAGGAAGGGATTCTCTTCCAACATCTCCCGGGAGAATTCTGGCGCTCAGTGGTCTGACTGGAGTGGCACGCCCGCCCCTGGACGGGTCCCTGAAGCAGAGGTGGCTGTGCGGACAGGCCATGCCCAAGTCGATGAGCGATGCTCCGTGTGAAAATTCGAGAGGGGGAAACTCTTAACCCAGGGGAGGCTTGGATTTGTGATTTTAGGGATAATTATGATCTGTAATAGTGTCCTTTGCCAGCCTCATATCTGACCCCGATCTCCCAAAGGACACAGGAACGTCCAGAGTCCAAGACACACATGCTGTGAGATGCCATTACAACATCAGAGCAACAAATTCACCCTTGACCAGCACATGCGTCCCGCCCCTCCCATCCCAAGAGTCGGGTGTGGGCTGCTGGTTGCTGGCTGAGGGATGGCAGTCCCAGGCCGACCCGCTGTCTACTGGCCCTCCTGTTGGGGTGCACTCACTGGATATGGACTTGGCTGGGACCCTGAGCTGGCTGCTGGCTCTCTGGGGACCTGACCAGGAGCCCAGAACCTTCTCGCCAGGTGCTAAAGCTCTCCTTCCTTCATGCGGGGTCAGCACCTATGCCTTCATGCCTGGTCTCTGTGGATGCTGGGTACAGATTTTCCCACAGAGGCTCATGCTCCTCAAATTGCCTTCTTTGGAGGACAGAGCATCCCGTCGCGAGGGCTCGGTGGCCTTTGGCCATGAAAATCTCTGAGCCTCATTTTTCTTAATCTGTGAAATGGGAGCAAATAGCCACCTCACACAGTCGTGGGAAGGAGAGCTCAAGTCGGTGCGAGCAAAGCACAGGCAAGGAGAAGGGGCCTGCGAAGGGCGGACGTGGTGATGGGACTCGAGCTTTCCATGCGCAGGAACCCGGCTTGCACCTGACCCTTCACATGCCGCCCTGCCCTCAGCCTCTGTCACCCCTTGAGGACAGCGAGGACACTGAGCCTCTCCACTGGGGTGTCTGTCTGGGGCCACACTGTCATTCACGGGATGGAGGCAAGCCTTCCTCCTTCCAGCAACGGCATCGTGATGTCCGTGGGGACCCCCACTTCCCTGAGCGTCCCGGCGCCCTGGGTCTTGGGCACGTAGGTCAGCATTCCAGGGGCTCCCCTGACTGAGGGCGGGGTGAATGCCACGCTCAGCCACCAGGCCCTTCCCCTGGGAGTGTGAGCGACTCTGTCCAATGTCTCTTAGCACACGCAGAAGTCCAAGCCTTCACAGCTTTTCTATTTTGCGACTTAAAGGAAAATAAATTTGCTCTACAGGTATCAGAAAGACCCATAACTGCGTGTAATAATCCCAGGAGAGGAGCGTGAGTTCTGTAGTAACTCGTCCCCAACCGCATCCGTTTTTCTCTAAGTCAGTATATTCCCATGACTATTAACCACACAATGAAAGTTCAGGAACGGGGCACCTGGGTGGCTCAGTGGGTTAAGCCTCTGCCTTTGGCTCAGGTCATGGTCTCAGGGTCCTGGGATTGAGCCCCGCATCGGGCTCTCTGCTCAGTGGGGAGCCTGCTCCCCCCTTCCTCTCTGCCTACTTGTGGTCTCTCTCTGTCAAATAAATAAATAAAATCTTTAAAAAAAATAAAAGTTCAGGAACTATTACTATTCTTTTTTTTTTTTTTTTTTGAGAGAGCTTGGTGGGGGAGGGGCAGAGGGCGAGAGAACCCCCAGCGGACTTGCCGCTGAGCGCGGAGCCAGAGAGCCCGGAGCAGGCAGCTCGAGCTCCGGAGCCTGAGATCAGGACCTGGGCTGGAATCAGGAGCCAGACGCGCCGCAGGCCGAGCCGCCCAGGCCGCCCCAGGACCTGGGATTCTTCATTCAGTCTTTTAAAGTTGCTGCATAAAAATGTAAAAAAAATGATCCAAAGCTCATGAAACCTGAAAATCTGATTTTAGTTTGCTCCTTGGGAATTTGAGCTTGGCAGAGACCGACACGGGCCGGAAGACAAGCCGGCACACGGAGCAGACAGGTTCGTGCCCCGGCCGGCTGCCGTGCTCGCCAGGATCCCGGCATGCAGCCCGCCCCCTTCTCCTTCAGCCTGTCTCGTCCTTCCAGAAGTGCTTCCGTGCAAGCGTCGGCCGGCGCTGGCGTTCTGGTCCCTGGCGCTCAGCAAGCGCCGTGCCGTGCAGGAAGCGTCACGGGGGTCCCTGCGAGCAGCTCTGGGCACATAGGCAGCCGCTCACTTCTTGCCTGGGGGAGCAGAAGAGAGTCACCTGGAAAGGTGGGCCTCGCTGTCTGAGAAGCGCCTCGCAGGGCCCGGCCCAGGCCGTTCCTGTGCATCCGGCCGGGCCTCCACCCGTCGTCCAGCCCCTCCCCGGCAAGGCTGGTGTGCGGCCTGCCCGTGGTTCCGGGGGCCCCATGTGGGCACTGTACAGGCTCAGGCGTTTCCCGGGATGGGTGACCCAGAATCTCGAGGCGTCTAAGCCCAGGTGTGGCGACAGAGCCAGGACACAGGGCGGGGCAGACCTGCCCCTGACGGTGGAGGCACACTGACCGCCCTGGGGCCGTTCGGAGACGCCGCATCGGCTCCACTGTCCTGCTGCGGACCACGGAGGAAGCAGCCAGAGCAGGTGGCGGCAGCCCACCTTGGGAACTGGTCCTTGCAATGCTGTGTGAGGCTGAGTGCTTCCCCGCGGTGGTCTCACTTGTCCCCCACAGCCGTGGAGGTGGGCGCCCTGTTCTCCAGCCCCAGGGGAAGAACTGGGGGCTCGTTTGCTTTGTTAACTCCTCGCTTGGTGTTCACCCATCAGCTGGCTGAGTGCCCGCAACGCTCGCTGTGAAACATCGTCCTGCCCTCGCAGGGCTCGCGTCCTCTCGGGGCAGCGGGTCCCAGAGTCCGATGACAGGGCTTGCAGGAGGGGATGGGCGGAGGGCTGGCCCGGAAAGGACCTGGGACTGAGTGGGGTTTGGGGGTCCCCAGGTGTGGAGGCTCCCTGGAAGCACTCCCAAGACGCCGCACACAGCCGCCCGCGGGGCTGGGGTAATCACGGGGAAATGACACAAGCTAGTCGTGGAGGGAACTCGGGCCCCCCCGGGGCGCCTCTGTGGAGTCATGAGGGACATGTAGACCGCCCCCCGCCCAGCAACGAGCTGTGATGTCACGTGTGAAGTAATGCCCTCTGGGGATGCCCAGAAGACCCTCGGTGCCTAAGGTTTTCGTCAGGGGCGGGTCATGGAGGATGCCTCTGCCATTGTGTGTTGTGGACACCGATCCCCGCTCCCAAGAGGAGGACAGACGCTCGCCCTATGCAGGGCTCACGGGGTATCAGCATGTGCTGAGGGAACCCCAGACGCAATCCAGCAGCAGCCTGGATACAGATGCCTTCCCAGCCCCGACAGAGCCCCTGTCCCATACCCGGTGAGCATGCTGGGGAGCCTGTGAGGGCAGGGTCCACACGAAGCCTTTGGCAGGGTGCTGAGATCCGCACGGGGTCGGAGGCTCTTGGGGCCGCCCTCATGGCCTTCCTGTCTGCCTGCCCCAACCCTCCCCTGCTACAGTACCCTGCGCTCCTCCCCGCCATCCCCTCCCCCGCCCCCCCAGCAGCTGGGCGTCCATGAGACAAAAACCAGTGAGGGTACCAGGCTCTGGATGGCTTGCCCCGTCGTCGGCACAATTTTCTTCTACCTCTGCCTTTAGGCTCCATGGCCGCCTCCCTCTCTCCTCCGCCCGGACCTGCTTCGTTCTTGCTGTGATGTGCCATGTACTACATCTCTACGGACCTCTCCTTTCTTCCTGACCGGCCCCTGGAATGTCCGGCGAACGTCAGGGGTGGGCATCCTAATCCTGACCCTGAGCACCATCTCCCCATCTGGCAACGCTGAGACACCTCTGCTCCTTGCCCCCCAAACACTGTGCAGAAGCAAAGCCCTGGGCCCCTTCCCCACCCAGCATAGTCCCGTTCTCGGGCTGGGACAGGAGAAGAGGAAGGTCCTCCCACCCCACCTCATCCCCTGGCCCTGGGCTCACCTGATTCCTCGGCCGAGTCGTCGAATTCCACCTGGAAGAAGTAGCCGGTGTTCCAGACGTGCAGGCAGCTGGCCGCAGCGTACGAAACCCTGAGGGGCTGCAGCTGTGGGTCGTAAACGCTGTCCCTCCAGCGGATGTTGACAGGGGACTGCCGGGTGCCTCTGGGCACAGAGGCCGGGCCCTTCCAGAGGGGGTGCCCTGGGGCAGAGAGAAGGAAGGGGAGGCCTTGCTGAGACCTTGGAATTATTAACCCCACAGGGGAGGCAGTGACCCTTGCAGATGAGCCCCTAGGGGAGAGAGCCCTCTGGAACTGGACCGACATGGAGCCCAGGGGCCACTGGGCCACCCAACAGGTCTGCCCACGCGTGCGGTGCCCGCAGTCCGTCTCCACTCCGACCATCCGTCGGCACTGACTTCCTGGTGCTATGCCGATCTGGTTTTGACTCATGGTCATGGTCACAGTGTGGTCACAAGTCCGTGCCCGCCCACCGAGCAGAGCCATGGCCATCTGCCGTGCGGGCCACCTCGGGGCCCAGGAACTGGGGCTCACCAGGCCCTGGAGACACAGCCTACTCTCCGCCAGCCTTCTCCTGCTCACCACGGACACATGGAGGACGACAGCCTAGACCTTTGTCCCAGCTGCCTCCCGCTGTAACTCAGTGTCGCACCAGCAGCCTGGGTCGTCCATGGTTGGTTCTCTCCCCAAAGACCCCTGAGCCGGCACAGGTCGTGACTGCGTCATGTTCACGGTACAACCCCAAGAACCTCCCCAGCCTCCGTCCCTGCGACAGGGAGGCCGGTGCGGAGCTGGGCTGCACGCAGACTTCGCCGGCGGCTGGACGTCATGGACGTGGCCCGCGTCTCTCTGGAGACCGACAGAGGCGCCTGGTTGGGAGGAAGCCGACGGTTCTCCCTCTGCCCCATGGTCGGTCACTGTTGGGCCCTGAGAGCCCAGTGCCCTGCACGGTGCCTACATCATCGACCCTGTGTCCTCCGGCCTCGCGTGTGCAGGATCATCTCCCGTCCCCGCCGGAAGAGAGAACCCGCTGCCCGTGGTTTCACTACAAGCCCACGTGACAGCTGTTCGGCTGTTAGAAGTCGTGTTGTTTGTCTCAAAGTGTGTCGGCTTGAACTTGCCGTGTGTGTTTAGGAGAGAACAGTGTCTGTAACGTTCGACGCCGTCTGTGCTTTCGCGCACCTGCTGAGGGGCCCGGAGCGGATCCCTGTGGAGAAGGGGGGGCCACTGTGTTTGGGAACAAACTTGTTTTTTGTCCCCCAGGGAAATGTGCTGCAAACTCCAGTACACAAAACACTAGACCGGAAGCGTCAGTGACCGAGGAAGCCCCGTCTCCGTTTGGCAGGATGTACTCCGCGCATCGTGGACTCTGGAGTAAAACCTCGGGCGCCTGGAAGTAGCCCGGAGGCCAGGGCGTGGGCAGACTTAGACGGAACGTCACTGAGTCCTACACGCGTGTGTGAGGACATGTGAGAATGTGGTTGGTAGTAGTTAAAAATTGGTACCACCTAAGGTCCCCCAACAGGGTAGCACGGGGCCAGCTTCGGCAAGGTGCCTGGCGTGGTACTGAGCCTCCGCATGCCCGACCTCAGGTCTGCATCCAACAGCTCCATGAGAGAAGTGCTGGGATGCTCCACCTCTTACAGGCGATGCGACCGGGACTCAGAGAGGTTAAGAGGCTTGCTGAGGGGTACACAGCCGGGATTCCGGTCTAGGTGGCCTGATGCCCTTCCCGGTCGAACCACGTAGTAGAGTGGGGCTGGGTGCAGATGTCGCCGGAGGAGACTGGAGGGAGCCAAGGGGCTGACCAACATGCACAGAGGGGTCACTTTTTGTTTTTTTGAGAAGTCTTGTGAACGTGCAGACCCGTTCTAGTAGCACGGAGGAAGGCACCAGAAGGCTGAGCTCTCAAGGAGACAGAGCAGTGGCCTCTGGGAATTGGGGTTGGAGGGGGCGCAGGTGGGAGGGCCTTCCTGTACCGTTTGAAATTTACAGGTGGGTCTAGGGCGGGGCACCGGGTTTTTCATTTCCAGCAAGTTCCCAGGGGGTGACACCACTGCCCGTCCGGGGACCCGCTCTGAGTAAGTCTCCGTCATGTTCACTGAGAGCCTGGTGCGTGGCAGGCTTTCGACACCTGTTGTGCCGTCTTCACGTGACCCCGTGCGACGCTTAGTCTGCCCCTCTCACAGGCGTGGAGACTGGGGCTCAGCGAAGCCTCTGTCCCCACTCTCACCTCTGCCAGTCACTTGTCCCGAGTGCCCACACTCGGGAGCTTCTGGCTCCGAAGCCCACACTCTTCCAACCGTCCAACCCGGAAAGTGCTGGTATTTCAGAAGTGACCTTCGGCAGTGATCTTACAGCTAGCTTTTTTTTTTTTTTTTTTTTTTTATGGGGGGTACATCTGAGACCCAGAAAGGGAGAAGCATGAGTCCAGGGTCCCAGGGCGTTAAGGACGGGTGCCTCCAGGGTGCGGCCAACGGAAGCTGACTGTGGACAGAGCCGGTTCCATGATCTGTTTACGGTGTTGTTGCCCAAAACGGTCTCTGCCAGATGGATTTTGGAGTGGGGGTAGGGCTGGGTGTTCCTAACAACAGCTCAGTTTGGGGGGCGCTTCCTACCTGTCTTCTTCTGAGACTCTCACCCTCCTGATGGCCCCATGGAGCTGCGGTGAAGGGAACTGCCCAAGGTCGCCCACAGGAGAGGAGAGTGCGAACCTGAACCCAAGCGTCTGGTCCGACTGCCTCCCATTCTGGAAGACACCATAGCATCAGCCAAACGTCAGGCCGCACCCAGGGAAACCCCAGGATCTACTTACAAGCGTCGCTCCGGTTCCTCTGTGCGCAGGGACCCTGGGAGTGGCATCGCTCTGCCCTGCGCGGATGACAGCGGGGGGCCCCCCACAGCTGCGTGACCGAGACCGAGAAACCAGAGGCGTTCCGAAGGCTCCTGCCCAGCACCAGGGTCCCTAGCATACTGGGTCTGCTTCCCCACGGACCCCAGTAAAAACAGGTGATTCTCCTACTCTCCGGTCTCACTCGGATCAGGATGACTGTGCGATGGGGTCAGCCCACCCCTTTGTGTAGAAACTCACCCAACCCCCCAACCCGGATGGTTAAATTTCAACCCACGCTTGCCCCAGCATCCTGGGTGACGTTCGGTGCGGCTCAGGGGTGGGTGCTCTGGGACAAGCGGCCTTCGCCGTGGCCAGCCCCCGATCTCACTGAGCTTTGATCTGGTAAACAGCAGAGCGTGCCAGGGGTTTAGGAGAACAGTGTGGGGAGCTCAGTGCCAGCACCAGGAAGAAGGTGAGAGGCACATAGGAGAGAGCGGAGTGCCTGTTCTTGGGGGCCCACTCTGGGGTGGCTTCGTTCATTCGTTCATTGACTTGTCTCAGGCTCCTCGTCTGTAAGGCCCCGCTGTGATGTCGTCAGGGTTCAAGGCCCCGATGCCAGGGAACCACTTAGGATACAGCATTTCTGTCACTGTGCCCCGAGCCCCGTGCTCCAAGCCCTGGCTGAGCCCGGGGTGAACGCAGCTTCCTGACAAGGGTGAGCCCGTCCGCGGCTCCCTGCAGACCCCCCACACTCTCAACGGCGTGTCCTTGGCTGCCCTCAGCTGCTCTGCCGTCTTCTCTGCCTGCCGTGGGTAGACTGCCCCGCCGCCCGTCCCCGTGGTTCTGGGGTCTCCCCGCCCCCCCTGCAGCCACACGGCAGAGCTCTGCTTTATTTAGAGGATGTTGCTGGGCCCGGCTGTCCTGCGCGCCCCTCATAGCTGACTCGACCATCATTTGCCACTAGTAGGGCACACGCTGGAGTCTCTGCCAATGAAGGACATTAAAAAGCCATTTATGGGCGTATGATGGAAAATATCTGAAGCCAGTCCAGGGTGAAAATTGAGTCTCTTTCTCAGCGTGAACGCTGGTAGCAGTTTCTTCTGGCACTTTCTGGAAATTTCCATGACAAATAATCCTACATATATATCTCTGTGTTTTTAATACAGGAGATAATCATATCCTACCTAAAGAGTATACATGGATAGGTATATAGTCAATAATTATCATGAATACGTTTTTGTATCAGTTTTTAAAAAGATTTTATTTATTTATTTGACAGAGAGAGAGAGAGAGAGCACAAGCGGAGGGAGCAGCAGAGGGAGAGGGAGCAGCAGGCTCCCTGCTGAGCAAGGATCCCGCCGAGGGGGCTCGATCCCAGGACCCCAGGATCATGACCTGAGCCGAAGGCAGATGCTCAACCCACTGAACCCCAGGCGCCCTATGTCAGTGTTTTTTGCTGTTTTTTAACTATAGAATATTCCATTAGAAGATATACCATAATTTATCAAATCACTCCCCTTACAGAGAAACTATTTTTGGTCTATAATTAACACCGCACTGAACATCTTCGAAGGGGATTCCCAGGTCTGACATCTAGGGGTCAATGGATAAAGGCACTGGAATGGGCGACACTGTGCCAACGTACTCTCTTGAGACAGGGTACCACGTACTATTCTTGCCCACTCTCCTTGTATTTTGAGCCAAAAAGCCTCATGTTTATCCAAGCCTACAGCTTCTAATTCCTTAGTATCTCCTTTGCTCATGAACAGTCAGGGGACTCCATATGACCTGTAATTATCAGCTGGAACTAAAAATTTGTCGCACAGAGACATGCCGAGGTGTTTGGTTGAAATTTATTCTGGTTGTTTCAGTGGAGATGTTTTTTGGGACGTGATTAATGCCTCAATCAGTGAACTGTCAGTAAAGCAGATTCTCCTCCCTGTGTGGGTGGGCCTCACCAAATCAGTCGAAGGCCAGCCTGGAACAAAGACAGACTTCCCCTGAGCAGGAGAGAGTTCTGCCAGCACTCTGCCTTTGGGCTCTGCAGGTCTCCCCAAGTTTCCAGCCTGCAAACCAACCCCCCCCCACCCTGCCCCATTGGATTTTTGGATTTGTTAAGCCTTCCAGTCCATGAGCCAATTTCAGACTGTCCTTCAAGGTAGAGGAGGAAAACACAGGGATTTCTATCTTTATTTCCTCTCTCATGGGTGGTATTGTCTATTGTACATGTTTCATAGAGCAAACACTGTCATACCCAATGCACGGGTCTGATTTATCCGTAAACACACTTGAGTTCAAGGGCACGCCAGGAGCTTTTAGCTGAACTGAGTGTGTGATCAAAGCACGGAGCGTGCTGCTCTGTGAGACCGCTCGGGTTTCTTGGCACGGCTCTCACCAAACGGAGCTTTATTCTTCCAGGACAGAAATTCAAATCCATCCCTAAATGCACCCGAATGCTCTCCAGAGTACTTTAAGCTTCCCCAAATGACACAGACACTGTCCATAAAGAAATTCTATTCCAGTTGGAGAAAAAAAAAGAGGAAATGGGAGAAACCCTGATTGGACAAAAATCTTGAAAATATGTGGAAGTTTCTATGTGCCTTTCCTTCTTCTTTTGTTCTCCATGGATTTTCCTTATAGTACAATTTTGGGCACACACTTTTATTGATTTTATGGATTTATAAACCTGTTCCCCTGATCTGAGGAGCCCGAGGGGACACTTTGTAGTGGAAATCTCTTTTTCATAAGGACGTTAAGTGCTTTTGTGATATTCATCACCTGCCCAGCATAATTACACTGTATTCTGAGTCAGATGAAAACCAGTGAATCACGGCTGCCTGGGAGCCCAAGGGAGACATTTCCTCCTCCTTTGCTGAAACATACACAGCTTCTCCTCCCAGAAAATATGAATCAAGAGGCTCCAGGAACAAAGCGGCACCACCGGAGTGACATCAACATTGACGTCACTGCTCATGTGTGTCCAGGCGTGTCTTTTGGGTCTCCTGGGAGCCCTAGGACTCATGTGCTGGGGGCAAGGGCTGTGTATGGCTGCCTGACATGGGACACCTGGCCACTTTCCTCTGATAACACCGTCTGATAATCACTTGACTTTTCCCTGGGACACCGGCCCTGCTGGAATGGCCATCCAAGGTCGAGCGGACCCTGTCGCCGAGGTGTCTCAGGTTCGACCGACCGGAGAGAAAATAACTTACAGGTGAGCTTTGCTGGCCAGTGAGCGTTAGCTCTGAGAGCTTGGCTGCAGGCATAGGGTAAGAGGCACGGTCTGTCCGCGATGATCGTTAAACTGGTAAGAAACACACTGTGTGCCGCTGCTGGAAACGCTTCTTCAGATCTTGCCCAAGAATGGAGAGAAAACTGAACCCAGGGTTGGGAAGGCTGGAGGAGGAGAGAGAGCGAGAGCGAGAGCGAGAGCGAGAGTGAGAGCGAGAACATGGCGTTGTTCCGGCCAAGTGGTTCCTACTCCTCTATCCTGAAGTTCTCTTCCAAACTTCCCAGTTCCGTGACTCAGTGAGGTCCTTTTATTCTGCTCCGCGCGTGCGCACTTCCCCTGTGTTCCAAAGGCCCTGACTTAGTAAGCACTGTGGTCTCCATCCAACAGGGGAAGGGCCTGGAGCCCGGGCAATGATGCCTATGGTCTAAGTTCTCCCTTGCTGGAGAGTGGCGGGGCAGGGGTGATGCATGTGGCCGTGACCTCATTCTTCCCGTGAGCCTGGCCTACCCATGTGTGTCCTCGGTGCGCCTGCCGTGCAGGGAAATGCCGGCCGCCTATTCCCACCGCGTACCCGGTGCAAGGCGATTTTTGGTTTGGAATAGAAACAGTGCACGGAAGCTGATGCCCCAGTTACCTACTACGGCCTGACCCAGCGCTCCCAGGGCCGGTGGCTGGAGACAGCGGTTACCGAACTGGCACGTGTCCGTTCTGGGCGGGGCTCAGTGGGAAGGGCCCAGCTCTGCCCGGCCAGGCCTCCGCCGACAGGGCACCGCCGGGCCGGAGCACTCACTTCCCAGGCGGCCGCACAAGGCGGGGGAGCGGAGGCTGGGGTGCTTCTCGGCGTGGGCCTCTCTGAGCCGGGAGTCGGCGTTCGCTCCCTCAGCACGACGAGGCCCATCATGCAGGGAGTCGGACGGCGTCTTCCATAAAGTCAGACGTGCGGGGAGCGGGAGACCCAGCAGTTCTGACCCGGGGCGCGCCGCAGAGAGACGAAGCGCGGAGACGCCCGCACACAACGACCGGAAAGTAAAATCACCCACGTGTTCACCCGTGGAGGAATGGATCAGAAGGACAATGGTATCTCAACATGCAAGTATTCGGTCATAAAAAGGAATGCAGTGACAGTACTCGGGGCCGTGTGGCATCCGCAGAGAAACAGCCCGATCCGTCCGCGGGGCCGAGCAGAGCCCAGGAGCAGACGCCGTGAGCGCAGCCGGCGCGTCCGGGACAGCAGCCGCGGACTTCCACGAGCGAAACCAGACTCGTCGACAACCGCGGAGCGTCCCCGCGCCCGCAGAGCGAGTCCCGAACGGACCTCACGCCCTGACCACGTTCCGCCGAGTGAAAGGGGCCGGGCCGAGGGGCCACATGTTGTGGAATGTCGTTTGTGCCGAATGTCCGGAACAGGCCAATCTATGACACGAAAGCAGAGGAGGGGCTGGCGGGGCTGGGGCCGGGGCGGGGCGTGACTGATAAGGGGATGCCCTGCCTTTGGGGAGGATGAGAAGGTTCTGGAAAGAGTTAATGAGCGAGGGGTGGCAGAACACCAGGAATGTGCCTGATGCCCTGCATTGTACATTTAAATGCTCAAAGCGGCCAAGTGTACGTGATGTGTATTTAAACACTATACGAAAAAGGAGAGGTGGGGAAAGCGGTCAAGCAGGTTTGGCCAAGTGTAGACACACCAGTGGGTTATCTCGTGACTTAGGCACAGGCACAGCACTGGCACCTACGGGCCAGGTGGTAGCGGTGGCTGTTAACGCTTTCTCAGTGGCACCCAAGTCCCCGGCATACATGCGACACAATCTGCAAAGTACAGTCTACTGTCCCACTTTCCGGATGACACTGAGGCCCCGGAGGTCAGGTTACCGGTCCGGAGCCACACAGAGGAGCGTGAGCGGGAGTGGGATGCACATCCGACAGAGCTCAAAAGCACGAGAACGCACAGGTGACTTTCGTGAGGTCTTAGTGTCCCATTTCCCGGGGGGCGGGGGGGAAACTGAGGCACAGGACGTTCTGGTGGCTTTCCCAGATGCACAGGATGTCACAGCCATGCAGCAGCAATGAACCAGAGTCCTCATCTCTCAAAATCTTCTTAAAAAAAAATACTCATTTTCCAGCTTTATTGAGGTACGATGGACAAACCCCAGGACGAATTTATACACGTCTACACCGTGGAAGCGTTACCACAGGTACATCAGCAACTCCAGCTGCGGACCCAGTTAGCGTGGTTGTGGTGCCAAGTACCCGAGGTCGTAGAAACTCTCCAAGACACAATGCAGCCCCGTCAGCTGTGGTCCCCACGCTGGACCTCAGGTCCCCGAATGCATTCACCTTCAAACAGGAAGTCTCCACGCTGTGACCCAAAGATCCCCATTCCCCCACCCGCCGGGCCCCGCTAACCACCGGCTCTACTCTCTGCTTCTCTGAGTTTGACTTTTCTAGATTCTACGTATAAGGGAGACCGTGCAGTCTGCCTGGCATACTTCACTCAGCGTGAGGCACTCCGGGTTTGTCCACGTTGTCACAAACGGCAGGACGTCCTTCCTTCTCGTGGCTGAAGGATATTCCATTTTTTATCTACGCCACAGCTTCTTCATCCATCCATTGGTCGGGGGACACTTAGCCCATTTCCATGTCTTCCTGCTGAGAGGGACACGGCAGCATTCAGACATCTGTTTTCGTCTCGTTTGTACATTTACCTAGAAGCGGCTGCGAGCTCGGAGTGTCGTTCTTAGTTTCCTGAGGGCCCTGCAGACCCTACATTCCCACCAACAGTGCGTGAGGCTTCTTCTCTCCCACCTTCAATGACGCTTGTCATCAACTGTGCTTTCGATGCCAGCCGTTTTAAGAGGCGGGACATGATAACTTACTGGAGGTTTGATTTGAATTTTCCTGATGACCAGTGATGTTTCACGTACCTGTATGTCTTCTTTGGAAAAACGTCCACTCAGGTCCTCTGTCCATTTTAAAATCTCTCTCTCTCTATTCGCTCTTGAGTTGTACGAGCTTCTTCTCTACGCCGAGTATTAACTGATTATCAAGTGTGTGGCAGGTAAACATTTTCTCCCCTTCTTTAGAACGTCTCTTCGGTGTGCCATGCAAAAGCTTTTTGGTTGGTTGTAGCTTGTTTTGGATAGTATGGACCATTTAACAATATTCATTCTTCTGACCCGCAAACGCGGGATATCCTCCCATTTCTGTGTGTGTCCCCTTCAGTTTCTTCCACCGGTGTCCTGTCGTTTTCAGTGTACAGATCTTTCACGTCCTTGGTTAAACTTTCTTAACTATTTTGCCATCTTGATGCTATTGTAAACAGGACTGTTTTTTTCTTCTTCAGGTCATTCTTTGTTAGCACATAGATTCTTGCATGCTGTTTGTAAGGGGACAGTTTTTTTGGCGGGGTCTTCAGGGTTGTCTATGTGTAAGATCATGTTATTTGCAAACAGAGACAATTTAACTTCTTCCTTCCTGATTTGGAGGACTCACTTCTTTTCCTTCCTAACTTCCCAGGCTAGGACTTCTAGGACTCTGTGGAATGGGCCCCCTGGTCTTGTTTTCAGCCTCAGAGTTCAAGCTTTCAACCTCTCACCGTGGGGTCTGATGTCAGCTCTGGGCTTGTCATACATGACCCTCATCGTGTTGAGTCTTTATCAAAAAAGATGTTGAATTTTGTCAAATGGTTTTTCTGCCTCTATTGAGATGATCATATGGTTTTCACTTCATTAACGTAGCGTATCACATCATGGGCGGGTGTATTTCCCTCTGTGTTCCTGGGTGGACTGCTTCTGTACCAGTTACAAGTGGCTGGAGCTGGGTCTCGGGGCTGTTTCAGGAGGGCTTCAGCCACGGATGGCTCGTCAAGGTTTGCCGCTGAGGGGGTGTGATGGGGAACCTCCTATTCTACCACATTGCTGACGGGCTTCCTGGTCCTTAAATCTCCTGGTGGACCGGAATATGTGGCTGTGGGGGGATCCATGCTGGTGGGAGATGAGGCTATGATGGGAGCCGAGTGCTGCTTCTTTCCATTTCCCTTGAATTGTCTATAGGCTCTATTACCAGGACTCCATTTCATCCCCTAACCTGATGTCTTGCCAGCAGATGCTTGTGTGTGAAGCAGAAAACGGTGTCCTGAGCAGGAGAGGAATTACAGAGTGTAAAGAAACACTGTTCAGGGTCGTCACCACAGCCACGGGTGGTAGCCAGTGGCTGGCGGTGCCGAGTTCCCCATCTCAGGGAATGGTACTTCCATCATCTGATTTTCCATATTTGCAGGCCCAGGTGGCGTCCCAGATGCCCCTCTCCCTTACCCGTGCCCCCAGGAGTGGGTTTATGGTCAAGTCCTGTTGACGTCATCCCATGAGACCTCTTGGCGCTGTCCACTTCTCCACATCGGTCTCCACTGTGAGCGCCCTAGTTCAGGCCTTCATCATCTCTTGCCAGGACCCCTCCCAGAGCCTCCTCCAAATCCACTTAGCAATCTTCCTCCCCACCCCCAGTTCATTTGTCAACACTGTAGCTAGAGTGACCTTGGAAAATGCAAACTGGACCAGGGCCACCCTTGTCCCAAACCTTATAAAGACATTCCGTTATTTCAGGATCAAAACAAAACCCGTCCCTCGGCAACAAGGGCCTGCACGGCCCACATCTCAGCTACCTCTCCTACTGCATCTGCAGTCTTTCCCTTGCAGGCCTTGGTGCCGCTCCTGCGCGACCCTGGATGTGCTTAACCTTTGTGAACTTCACGTTCTTCCGCAAGAGCAGGCATGATTCTACATGCCGAGCTCATGGTGTGGCAACTTAACATATGGTCATAGGGTCATTTCTGGAGTCAGACCCTCTGCTAAACCCTTTATGAAGTCTGCTTCATTGAATCCTCCCAGGCTCCCCACGTGCTGTGAGTTTAAAAGGCCGGTTTCCAGAGGGGGTGGACCAGGCTCAGGAGGCCTCAACAGTGTAATTTGCACACGGGAGAGCTTAGATTCCAAGCCCAGGTCAGGCCAGCTCCGTGTCCCTGCTCTTGTAGATGGCAGAACTGCTTTCTAGGCTCTTCTCGGGCGACTGGGAGTTTCATGAAGGATGGACTTCCCTCCACCCCAGCGGCATCTTCAGGAACAGGGCCCTTCTGCAGAATCCCAGGATTTGCTTGAAGTGGGCAACACACGGTTTTGGAGAAAGGGCCTTTGAGATTTTTGCAAATGCCCAGGGCACACAGATGGAAGGGGTGCCCCATTTCTGGTGCCATTCAGGCCAGAGTGCACCTCCCTGTCTTCTCATCAAGCCCCCACTGACATGGCACCAGCCTCCTTAACTCCAGAACCTGAACTGGAAGAGGATGATGATGACTTCATATATATATATGAAATTATTATTTTTTGTGAGAGAGACAGAGACAGAGAAAGAGACAGAAGGGGCAGAGGCAGAGAGAGAATCTTACGCAGGCTCCACGCCCACATGGAGCCTGATGCGGGACTGTTACGCAACCCCGAGGTCATGACCCAGCAATAGACTGAAATCAGTAGTCAGAGGCTATACCCACCGAGCCGCCCAGAGCCCCCACACCCGACTCTTGAGGAAGTGCCTGGCAAGGAGCATCCCCCGCAGTAGGGAAGCAGCTCCCCCTCCGTGCACGGCCGTCCTCGCCGACGTCCAGCTGCTCCACTGTTCTCAGAACCACGGTGCATCAGCCGGTGTCGGTCCGGGCGGCACCGGCCTCTCCCTGACCCTCCTGGGCAGTGCGGTGAAGAGTTAACGCGCCGAGTCATCCACACACAAGACAACCGCGACTGTGGCACCAGCACCGCGACCGTCTTCCTGGCGCGCGATCCGGGTGAAGACTGGGCTGGAGCCCGCGGGGCGCAGGGGCAGGGCCGGGAGGGAGCGGGGACCCGCGCCGCGCCGGCCGCCAAGAGGACAGGGCGGCGTCCGGGAATGCGACAGGGTCCGCCGCGGTCACCGCTCGCGCTCACACGTCCGCGCGTCCGCGTCGAGGGCCCTGGGGTCAGCACCGGGACTGGCCGCGGCCGAGGCGGAGCCGGACGCAGGCGGCGCGGTGGGCGGCCCGGCCCTGCCCCCCTCGGGGGTTTGTGCGGCTCCGCCCCGCCCCCAGCTCGGCAGCCACCGGACCGCGTCCCGCACCGCGAACCCGCCTCGTTTTTTTTCCGGGCGGCGCGACCTTGCCGAGCCGCGGCCCTCCCGGGGCGGCGTCGCCTCGGAGCCACGTGTCCTCCCCCGCCCCGGACTCCCGCCCGGGTCTCCCGCGGCCGCCGTCCGGAGCGTCTTCGGGGTGCCCTTCCCGCACAGCTAACCCGGGGACGACCCGGCCCGGCGGCTCCCCGAGGTCACTTTTGAAAGGAAGCGTCCCCGGCAAGGTCGCCCGAGGTCACACGGCCCGTCACCGGCCAGAGTCCGGTCTCACCGCGGCGACGGGGGCCGGGGGCGGGGAAGCCCGAGGAGCAGGACCGCGTGTCCCGCCCGCACGAGGCGGCCGGCAGGTGTCCGCGAGACGGGCCGAGGCAGCTCGGGGACACAGCGGCCCGAACCAGAAAACCAGACGGCGGGGCGGGCGGCGCGGGGCCGGGACGCGGGAGCAGGGCCTCCGGGGACCGCGCGCCGCTGTGAGCGCCGTCGGACAGCCACCGCGACCGCAGGGAACGGCCGGGCACACACGCCTAAGCGCGGCAGCGCCGGGCCATGCGGACGGACGCCGGAGACCCCGCGCGCCAGCCATGCCCCACCCCCCCCGCACCCCGACCCCGACCCCGACCCCGGAACTTCGGTCCTTCCCTCCCAACTA